AACTAACAAAAAATTTATTTATTTTTATTTTATTTCTTTTGTTGACCAGTAAATGTATACAAATTATATATTTTTGGAATGTACTAATCAAGACATTTAATTTGATGCCCAAATTGTTATAATTAAACAAAAACGATTCGCATATTTTTTTTAAATGGCGTCATACATTCGCCATCTTAAATTAATATATAGCCAGGGAATGATGTTTGTTTGATACCCTATGATTATTATATTATTTTAGGTAAATAAACAAATTTTAGTTTTTTTATTGAAACAAATATTTGCACATAAATATTTATTTTATCGTTTCTGTGTTATCTTATAATGCCTGCAATATAAACTTTGATAATTTTACCTTTGATTATGACAAATCCCTATACAAATTTTAATCACAAGGAAATCTAACAAAAAGATCAACTCGTTTTAGGGGCTTAGACGTGAAAAACGGACAGACTCAATTTTACACTTTATGCCTGGATAAGAGTTTGCTTAAATGTTATTTTTAGCGATAGATTAAAAAAAATTTCAAACGAATTTGTTACACATGTAACAAATTCGTTTGAAATTTTTTTTTTTTATATAAAGTGAAAATGCAATGTCAAAATACAATCATGGACAGTATATTGTTACCGTGTCGCTCGAGATAGCCGGATGTGAATGGGACGCATACCTATGCTGTGCCGGATATTACTACGAGCCCCGGAATACGGTGTGACTATTTGCTCTGTTCTACCACACTATATAAATTTTCAATCAATGCACAAATTTTAATATTGCGTTCTTTACTTGTATATTTACGTGATTTTCATTTATTTATCTTACGATGATATAAATACAACGAAATCGTTGATATATGTATATACTAACACGTTGCATTATGTACTTATTGTCAATATCCGATATATGTATGTAACTATAGTATTTTTTTTTATTAATATTGAAACGAACATGAAAATTACCGTCAATAAATATTGTGTTAATTATTTATCATAATTATGAAAGTTAAAAAAAAAATCTTCTTTTATAGGTACTTTACCATAAGTCATTGATAACTTATCGTTCCCTTTAAATGTATTCGTTTTAAGGGTTAATGCATAAATGTGAATTTCTTAATTTCTACCATAATACTTTGCAATATTTAACGAATATTACTCTATAATATACATATATTTATTTATAAGAAAATAATTAATACGACCTCCGCGGCCGAATGGTCCGCACGCCGGTTTCATGGTGTCATCTCTAAAGTCCCGGTTTCAATTACGGTCGGGTCAATGTAGAAAATGAACTTCTACGTATTGTCTCGGGTCTGTGTGTTGTGGCACCTTCTTTGTCTCAGATACTCCATAATACGGAAGCTTTAACTATTCATCTTGGAATCTGAGCATTGTATGTGGTGTTGTCTAATATTTATTATTATTATTGTTATTTAATTTGGCGGATATAAGACGCCATTTAAAAATTCTGAGGTATAACATATTTAACTGCTCACTTAAAATAATAAATTACAAAAAGTGAATAATTTAAAAACGCGACTGCCATAATCAAACTAAAATATATAAGTATTGCTTAGATTACAAATGATCCACAGAACGGTCCCTCGACTGCAATGGAAATGTTGTTTAGCCAAGCTGTAACACAATTTGTTTTTAGGGTTACGTACCCAAAGAGTAAAACGGGAATCCCATTACTAAAATGTCACTGTCTGTCTATCATCAGGCTGTATCTCATGAATCATGAAAGTTAGACAATTGAAATTTTCATAGATGATGTATTACTGTTGCCACTTCAACAACAAATACTAAAAACCGGCATAAAATTATCCCATACAACAAACTTGGCAAAGAACCCTTCGTGCGCGAGTCCGAATCGCTACGAATCCGATAGATTTTTGCAGTAGCGTTTATTAATTGTTCAGTTATTAATTTACTTGAATCATTTTTTCTACATACAGCGTTTTATACTGAACACTACCGATTCACTTTATAATCAAATTTATAACCCACGACGCGTTTATATTAATTACATTTTATATGAGCCTCATTTATTCCTTTTCGTGATTTTCAGTTTTAGCCTTAGGTACACTGTACTCAGTCCAGCAAAGCACGAAAGCCAAAAATCGAATAATAGGAATATCATAATTATTTTCTTCAAAGGAAATACACTAATGATAACAGAAATTCATATTCCCTTTGCAACATCGTTAACACCGGTAATTGACACGCCAAGAATTTCCAAGAATAGAAAATCTTTTTTCTCACAATCAATATCTTTGCGATATTAAAAAAGATACCTACATTAATAATATAAAAAGTCAGTTGCTAACTGCGTCCAATACCCTTCATATTTAGTATAACAATTAGTATTCTATACAATCTGTTGATTTAGTTCATCAGCACAGTTCGTAGATATTGTTTGATTAAAAATACATATATTTTTATCGAGAAAGCTTTCGAATTAGCGGTTATCAATAAATCACGAAATACTTACGTAAGATATATTTTATTACGAACGACCTAACTAAACCTGTCTACGCTTCGCTTTTTGTGTCTGTGTCTTCCCGTGGGAACCTAGATATATTCGATGAAGTGGCCTACTTTTAATATGGCAGCAACGCTGAATTCACGAAAAAATAATCAGCTGTATCATACACAATTGTAATACCTACAATCGCCAACACTATAGTATTTTCGTGAATTCAGAGTTGCTCACATAACACGTAAAAGTCAATCAGCATACTTAACTTACTCACTCCACTAAATCCTGACACATAATAATATTACACCTAATATTAATATAAATAATAATTATTAGACAACATCACATACCTACGTTGCTTAGATTCCAAGATGAGTCGCTTAGGTCTGCGTGTTATGAAGTATCTGAGACAAAGAAAGTACCATAATACGCAGACACGAAGCAATATATAAAATTCCATTACATACATTGACCCGACCGGAAATCAAATCCAGGACCAGGATATGGCAACACCTTGAAACCGGCGTGCGAACAACTCGGCTACATAAGTCGTACATACATGTAGATATATAGTTTAGGCTCTCACTATTTGATCGGATTCAATTTCATCTATAGGAGAGGCGTGAGTATCAGCAGAGAAGGCCATTAATAGTCTGCTGATGAGGTACTTGACATTTATATGAAGTATATTAAACCAATACGATTATAGAAGGCTTACACACATACGGAGATGTATGATATCATTATGTGTCATTTAAGATTTATTTTATGGTATTTCCGGTTCCTAGTAACAAAAACTATGTGTATGTGATTTTATAATTTTATGGAGCGATTGTTAAATCTTGATAAATTAACGAACTTCAGTCATTCACATTCGGGTAATTATTGAAGTTATATATAATAACAGCATCTATACTAAACATTTTATTTCATTGTAAATATATCAAATTAAATATAGTATAGGTCCATTAAAAAGGGTAGGACCTAAAACGCTCCCCTGTAGTATGTAAATGATTTTTATAGTTAAACCCACATAAGTATTTCCAAATTACAACATTACTAGTTCATTTAGTCTAATAATAAATCAAAATACCAACATCTAAATACTTTTTTACTGACCGAATAATTTGTCCATTAATATAGTTATTTTGAATAATAATAATGTTAATTACAGTTTAATTTAGATTTAATATTAATTTCCAAGGTAATTTTTGCCTATTTGTTATCTACTTATGAGTCACGATAAATTCCAAGAAATAGGAAAGTAATATTAATAAATACAATACTTATTTTCAATGGATACCTATATCGCATCTATAATGAGTGTACCTGTTTTCTATCTATGTATTCTTTACGTGTGTGAGAAGTCACACAAGTAATGAAAAGGTAAAAACACAGGCATCTCTTCTAAGCTTCCGTAATCACTATAAGCTAACTCACTCACTCATAATGATGATAACACGGGCATTAGAAAAAGATAGCAGTAATGTATGAAGAGAAGCGGTCCCAAGCAAGTTGAGAAGCACAATATCAGCTCATTACTTACAAAGACATAAAATTATTGCGACACATAACACACCTGTCGTTTAATAGACGATACACATTGTTTACATTATTTAACAGACTATAATGATTCAAAATATCACCATGTATGATAAGAGGCTTGAAAATGAATTACAATATCAGATCGATGTTCATGTACTCAATATAACCATGGTTATTAAGTACGTATACTCTTATTAGTATAAAATATTGTTACACGTATATTTTTTCATAGCATCCTCCATTAAATACGTATAATTATATTGTAATCAATAAATGAATCAATTATGTCAAGTGCGATTAAAATTTTACTGACATCAAAAATATTAACGTTCGCAAAAGCAAGCAGATTATTAGCTATAAACATTTTAAAATAAAACTCTACAAATGTACCACAGACATGGATTCGGTTAACGAATTAGATTATTTACAAAATAAAACGATGAATCAATTAATTTGCGTAGAAATTACTAATTTGGTAGTTTTTAATCAAACCGTTTAAAATGCCTGATATCGAAAGTAAAAAATATGCTCTGTGGCACACGAATTGTATACACACGAATTGTACAATACACAAACCCATCACCTTAAAATATAACAATAGCCGATAATAAAATGTCGCCATAAAAATAGGTAGTCCTTAATCAGAAATGTTGAAGAATTAGTCATCACCCAAGAATGTTTACAAAAACTATAATGATCTGAGGCTAATTTGGGTTTATAGTTAACTTAAATCACGTGATTTAAATGATAGACATCGTTACCTTGATGTGAGATGGTGTTAACGCAGATAAAATGTTTAAAAATACTTTGTAATAGAAAGACATCATAACATATTAAAAGTAGATATGACGAAAATACGTGATGTTGAGTGATGCATGGATATGACAACTGTAAAGCCTTCGCAGTTTTCCTGCAACCGAGGTCGCAGAAATTAATATAGTGAAAATATAAACGGTTAATTTAAAGAAAAAACTTACCTTACAAAAAGAATGCCATTTTTCAACACCAAGTAATCCGAGAATATAATCCAGTCACATACAACAAACCTTTCTAAAATTAAAAACTTATAACGAAGGCTTCGCGGTTACGCGGCCTGTTGCAGAGTGGGCGGCGGAATGTGACTCTTGCGCACAGGTAGAGGTGCGCAAGCGCAGGGTTTGCGACTGTGTGCGTGACAATCGTACAGTGTAACAACAAGTCCGGTAACAATGTGTACGGAACGGTATTCGATACCCTATAGAGTTAAACTAACCTGCTGGCGTTGAACTCGAACGATTACTTCCTAACGACTCTGACATAGTAAATGATTTTGTACTCAAAAGGGTGCATAAACCTAATATCACTAATTTTAAAATTATCATGAACAAGGAAAATAAATAAATTCATCGATACGAGTTGTTGCAAATAATAATTAATGACTGTGTTATAATGACAAATTTTTGAGAAAAAGAAGTAAAAAATAGTTTTTTTTTAATCAAATTTTCGTCGATTTATTTCGCTCAGTCTATATTGTTTCAATCGTTTCAACTTTATATGCAATCCATCGAATAGGTATACCTACGAACAATATATAACAGCTAATGGAAATTTGAGATTCTTTATTACCTTGATCGCTTTAAACCTAAGAACAAATTCCAAGGAAAGTTTTCAGCGTATAATCGCAGCCGCGGGAAAATAAATATTGTTTATTATACTGTACAATCCGACAGTCATCACGAGACAATAAAAAAAAAACATTATTTCGTTATCATTATTATCTAAATTAGGTACCTTCACCTACTAGGTTAACTGAAGCTAGTTTTCTCCGCGATACTTCAATGTTTCCTAAGATCGGTAAATTGTATAAAATTTTTGATATCTATAATTTTCGGCTATGCATATAAGATAGTGTATATAAAAATCTATTTCTGTTTTTAATATGAAATGGTACACGTAAGTTTACCATAATATGTAAATTTTATGCAATGAATTTTGACCTTTTTCCTTAACATTTTAAGTTTTCGAATCTAGTGGGGAAATTAGACAATTTTATATTGCCTGACTGTATCTAAATTTTTGATCAAATACAACAAATTGTTTCAATAGTTAGGGTAACGTGGGCTCAGTGTTACACGGGGCACACTGTGCCCATGCACATATTTCTATCGCAGTCATTACTTTTTATACTGTTTTGACAAGCTCTTTAATGGCCATCTTGGATCAATTTTCATTATCTTTGTTTATACCGCATATGGATGCTATTTAATTTAAATAAAAATAGGTGATCAAACATACAAAAAATCATATTGAAGTGTTTTAATTTTTGTCTGATATATGACATTTAGGTAATTTAGCTAATTATTTAATCAAGGTTTACTGGGATTTTTATTTATTCCCGAAAATAAGAGTACCCCAGATACGGGCACTGTATTACAATCGATTAACTTTATTAATGAGCAATTTAAATTAGCTTGTTGCTAATTATGGTCATGTTTTAATAATTCTAAGTAAAGAGAGATTGTTTTAGTTTATATCCAAGTCAGTTAAAAGTTGATTAAATGAATTTTTTCATCGCATTATTTTACAGAATTTTTACAGAATCGCAGAGCAGACCTTGCTGTCATTTTTTAGATTTTTTTTTTCAAAATATAGAACTCAATAGAAACTTTAGACTATTTAAATCGACTTCATTATCAAGAAACTGCTATTGAAGCCGGACGGAGGTGCTCTGTAATTTATTATAACCGCCCGAATTTTGAAAAACATACATCATTGTCAAATATTATGACCTCCTACTTTTCGGTTATGAAGTCGGTTAATAAAAAACTTGCTGATCTCTAATCAAATTTTAAAAAGTTATGTTCTATATATATTGCAGCCAAAGAAGCATTGCACATCATCAGTTTATAAACAGCTGTTTACACATCAACAGTTTTCGAATTTCTGCACTAGATTTTAAACCTCAATACTTTGCAAGTAGAGTTTATATTGAACTGGGGAAATTCGACATATAAAATAAACTTGATGTTTGTTTGTTGTAAAGAATTAATAACGAATGTGTGGTGATATTGTGATGCAAATAAATATATTATCTATGTATCTACATATTGTGGGCTTGCAGCTTTGTTTAATATCCATTTTTTTTAATTGAAGATAGTTATAAGGGAGATCATTACGTAACTGTTACCTGCTTCAAGTATTACCAATATTAACTAATTCTAACCAATTATCCGAGTATTATAAGGACATTATCGGATTACTGGAAGCCCAGCAGACTGGGCGGCATCCTAGACGATATCCTGCTAATTATCATTAATATCCTACTACTCGACTTAATATTATTATATGAAAATTCGTTATTGTCTGATTTCGTATAAATATTGGATGAAATTGAAAACTTTTTATCTCCCGGATTTTATTTTTTTACTTAAGTTTAGAATTAGATTCCAAGTAGCGTTAAAAAAGTAATAGAAATTCGTAACGATTTGTCCAAAGAGTATCCTATCTACCTATACCTACTTAAAGTTTGTCACTCATTCTAATATTCACCGAAGATAATTCGGAATAGGATATTTGACACTATCGAAAATAAGTTGCATTTTGTTGTCATCCTAGATAATTATCTAATAAAACTTATTTCTTATCATCTGCAGAAAAACCATGTTTAGTTTTAGTAAAATAACAAAGAAAATGCAGTATTTTTAGGAATTTATTCAACGACGAAAACGTTCTATAATTGATGGTCGTCACAACCAATAACGATTCTGTTTACTAACCTGTGACGTCATCAGCTGTCATGTAAAACTAGTGTTAGAAAGATACGTAAAATATCGATGCCTGTAGGTATCGAGTACTTTATAGTAATTTACAGATAACAGAATACTTTGCCGCTTCTGCTGATAGGAACTGCCAAAAAGAAATACAGAAAGAAAGAATCATTTACTAAGCTTTTGAAAAAATCTAAGAAATAAAGAAAACGCCAGCAATTCAAAAAAAGAGCAAATCACATGTTTTTCTTATTTCTTGTAATTTAATATAATAATTTAAAATTACAAAGTCGATTTTAATGATATATGCTGTTAAAAACTAACTTTAAAAAGTCACAAGGACAGATATACTACATGCATGTATAAAATATAAAATAATACTTTATTTTTTATACTAATGTCTCATCCATCTATAGGTCGAATGGCTGTGAAGTGCGAGCCCTGTCAACAAATCTTAATGAGTCGTAAAATGTTTATGATATAGAAAAAAAAAACAAAAAGAAAACCTTCAAATGAATCGATATGAAATAAAAAGTTTGAATACTTTTAGCGAATCCTTATTTTATCACCCATCTCTACTCTATATAGCTACTAATCTATTGTGACTGTGAATCTATTTTCTTCTAGACTCGAAGTTTGTTTGTTATTTATAGAAGTATTAGTACATTGTGGCACTACGCACCACTCGTGACTAATTTTTTAAAGAAAACCAGAGTAGAGATAAATAAAAAACGTAAAAAATACGCACTACGACTTCAATTTCTCTTCTAGATTATTATTTCAATTTATTATAAAGACAGTTGTTACTTATCGATTTGACATATTTACTGGTCTATGACGTCACGATCAGCGCCATTACATAGAGCAGCGTTTTTCGCGCGATTTTGGCTATTTAAATTTTAATAATTATTTTCACCAAAAAAAGAAAAGATTCCTATGAAATAAAATTACAGTGTGTTTATAATGTAGCAAACAACGATTTAAAATAGTTTTTAGAAAAGTGTCAAATACCCTATTCGGAAACCTCCTCACTTATGGTAAGAATCTTGTAAATACCTATACTTAATAGAAAAACCTTAAGTAACTAGACATATCACATTGGTAAGATTAGTAGCAAAAGCCTATTAAGCAGTCGTTCGTCCCAACACAACGCACAACGTCCAAAAGCGATACGAGCAAAAGAGAATTACAAAAATTAATTTTCTGAATTACTAGCTTTGACGGCGCGCACCATGGCACAGAGTAGTGTTGTTTTTATTTGTCTTTCTTTTTCATTTCTAATTCATCATTTCATTTCTATTTCATCATCGTCATCATCATCAGCCCTTTTACGTCCCCACTGCAGGGGCTCAGGCAATCCTTATGGCCATGACCCTCCACGCTGGCCCAATGCGGATTGGAAGGTATTAACGACTGCAAATGCAGCCGGGACCAACGGCTTAACGTGCCTTCCGAAGCACGGAGTAGCTCGAGATAATTTATTTTTTGGTCAACCATCCCGTGACCGACCCTTGCGAAAGTTGCTTAACGACAACGATCGCGGGCCGCGGCGCTTATCCACTACGCCACCGAGCTACTCGCATTTCTATTTAAAATTTTATATTGTGTCCGTGATGTGTGTTGTAAATGAATTCTATTCTATACTATTACCCGAAACGAAACCTCAAATATGGATGCCTTAAAATGAAGTGCTAAACATTCGACTACGGAGGTCTCATGACGAACAAACCTCTTTGTTAAATGTAGCATAGACGACTTTTACTTTTCAGAGTAGCTACTTACCTAAACATTATATGTCATCGATCTATGGAGAATATAATATGGAGCGGCTCAATAGCGCAGTGGATAGCTTTTATGCTTCGCATACTATCACAAATCAATAAAATGATTTATTGATGTCGCTGTGTACGATCGCTGGGGCTATGTGTTAGATGTCGCTACATATCAGAGCCCCAGGCAGAAGATGGGTGATTTAAAATTTATTAATCTCCTCCCTGCTTCGGCAGACACATCAAGTCGTTGTTTCCGTTTGTATCTGCAGGTCTTAACACCCATCCATCCGCACTGGACCCGTGTGGTGGGTCCTTTCTTCGCTATTATATTCGATTGCATCCGTCAGGAAGGGCTGTGCCTGTGCCTGAAGGTAGTGGGAGGAATAAACGCGTCTAGATTGCAAAGAAAATTTCTTACTAAATTACGGGTAACTTGTTAAAAATAATAAACGAATAGTCGATAATTACGTCTATTTGAACAACTTTGAACATTAAATAAACTATAAAAAGAAAAACGTATTCACACTTGCTATTGCAGTGGCAAAATAACTATATAAGTACATACTATTGACTTGGCTTTGTAGGAAACCTAATGTTATTTTTTTTTAACAAAACCCACAAGTAAAGATAGTACAGTACAGTGAACAAAAACCTCAAATTATATCAAAGTAACAAATGTCTCTAATCTGCCCTGCGATTCTGTAAAAAATCCAGACCCAAATTCGAATTGGGTGAGTCCGATTTCACGTCATATAGAAATTCAATTGATTCCATATTTTTTTATAAAGATATCATTTCGAAACTCACTTCACTTATATCATATGACATCTGTCACGAAACGATGTTGAAAACCAATTCATGGTTGAGCGGATGCTGCTTTTTGAAGTGAATTTGGACTCCTGAGTAAATGCTTCGGATCGGGTTTGGATTTTTACAGAATTGCAGGGTTGATTTTCAACTTTAATCTATCGGAAATTTTAATAATTTTATACTATTCGATGTTTTGTGGTACCTAGTCAACAGCATAAGTTATACGAATAAATGTTAAATTACTTACTAAGCTATTTACTACCATGTTAAATTTGATTTAAAATTACGACTACCTTTTATTATAACAAAAGATATCATTACACTACTCTAGTACTTAATTAAATAATTCTAAGCGATTGGTGACAATTGTAAACACTATTCGATTTTCCAGTAAAGTTGGCAATATACACCGTATAATAATTATGACTAAATTAATTAACTATCCACAAGTAATATATTTAGTGAAGAACATGACATTGATCGTGATCCTTGCGCGATAATCGCCTTAAATTTATATAGTGTGCGGCAAATCAAATAAATAATTAATAATATCATTGTTATGTACATCAATTGGTGTTGCTATACATAAATACAACTATTAAAGTACATTTCACATACAGAATATACATACAGTCAACACAATGTCAGGATATTTAAAACTGTCAAATTTCTCCAATTGAATTTATACCTTGATACATTGAAAATAAAGAGTTTAAAATCGAATGCGGAAATTTGACTTTTCATGCTACCCTGATGTGCTGTTGTATGTAGTAATAAGTAATGCGTAATTTGTTAAAGTACTGTGCTACATTATAAAAATATCACACATTTGGAATTGGTATTTCAGTTTGTAATAACCTAATAATCATAACGATATAAATTCTAAAAAAATGTAAGTCCCAAAAATAAAATAAACTTCATGAAGACACATTTTCTTCATACCGAATAAAATCTAAAAAAAAAACATCAATAAAAAACAAATATTTACTAGTTAAGCAACAACGATATCTTTTATCTTAAAATGACACATTCGATGCTTTCATAAAAAATTAAGAAGGGAAGATACGGTACTAACGAACTGCTAACTAAGTACATGAACACAATTTCACATCACTCACGAAAAGTATCGAGTTCTCAACAGATTATTTCCACGAATAACACAACAGATACAGAAGTAAAAAAACTAAATTCACAAAAAGTGTTAAAATAGCGTTAAAACTACAATATATTTTCATTTTAATAATAAAACTAACAGCATTGTGATTAAATACGCCCTTATGCACGCTAGTCTATCGAGTGACTTTGCTTATAAGAATTTATAATTGTGTAAGTAGTATCAGAACAGAAGAAATTTAAATATCAAGAAGTTATTATTCGCTTACTAAGTAATATGGTGGTGTTGAAGCTCTGTCCTTGTCGTTTCCGTGCTACAACGCTTACAAGACTTGGACGTCAAGCTAGTTCTGGGGCTCGACCGCCTAACTTATGGACGCAGTCGTAGTCATAGCTATAACCTATGCTTTATTAGTGCTTCAAATCAATCTGTTGACATTGTTTTAAAATTAATCCTTTTTTATTATTTACATATTTAATCAATTGGTTGTTTTTGTTAACTGAATTATTAAAGTTAAACGAAATTTACAAAATGTCGAATTGATACAAACAATGCTATTGCGAAAAGGAAAACAAACCAAAATGTTTGATTAAAATATATAAATTAAAAAAAAAAGGAGTAAAGTAAAGGAATATCAGTAAAGCGTAGGTTATAGCTACGACTACGGCTACGTGTATGAGTTAGGCGGTCGCGCCCCAGATCTTAAACGCTCATATATCAGAAAATCATTAGGTAATTTTATTTGTTCTTTCAAATTACGGTTATTTGAATCAAGGCACGTGTTGACGTGATAAAAATAACTATATATTATTATTTATAACTATAAGTGTACCGTATCTTCCATTTTTTTTTTTAAATTTAAGTCGAAGCTAACAATAGCTGGACAATAGTTCTCAGCAGATATTACGTTCTCCTTTCAAATATTTGGTAAAAAATAGAAATTCATTAAAGAATATTAAATTAAATAGTAGGTACTCTCAACTTTTTGAAATGCATATTTTTTATGTTAAAATGAAACAGTTTCGTTAATTGTCACTGCGCCAGTGATCTAATTATATGTTGTTTATACGTTAGATATTAAAAAAAAAACTCGAACTACCTTTTAATTAAGCTAACTAACCAAACTTCTGTCTGATATCATCTGACAGCTCGCAATTATGATTAGTTTTGCCATTATTTCATCCATTACCATATATTCATTTTATCGTCATGTTGGAACTAAAGGAGCAATACGAATGCATTCTGCAAGCGTTACTCCTCATATTCTGTGTAACGATCAAATCGACTGCATTTATTTAACTTGCATTACTTAACTAAAAATGTCTTTCAAACATTAGCCTTGAGATTTTTTCTTTTAGACTCAAAGTCTTGCTGTCAAGAAAATTTTCCCAACGCTATATTCACACTGTTACCAGCATTCGCTCTCCTATTTGTGTCAGCGTACATCATTGCTGAAAACAATTCTAATATACACACCATTCACTTGTTCTAACACTACATAATTAAGCATTATTCTTACATTTGTTCTGATATCGTCTTTTGCCATAATTATTATTTTCTCAGTATACAATTCAAAGTTTATTATACAATCAGGGCAATCAGGTGGAAGGATTTTCTACAAGCACTACGGCGTCATCTGCATAAAGCAGGCAGTTGTCTGGATATAAGATAAACAGTCTTATCAACAACTTGCACCCCTCTTGACTCCAATATTAACAAAATGAAGATTGCATGCGCTTTGTTCTGACAAAACGTCATGTACGTTTATTCAAAAGCTTATAATAAATCTTAATCAGATTTATTTCTCATTATGCTAGTTTATTGGATTAATTGATTATTCACATACTACATACAGTATGCAACGCCCAATGCAAGTAATAATACATAATTAATAGAACGGAAAGTGAGAGTGATTAAAACTTAGCAAAATATTTATATTAGGTTGTGGCAGTATTTAATTTATCAACTAATTAATGTATTATAATGTCATATATGTTTCGCAGATATAGATATATGTGTATATGCCAAATTTTCGAAAGTTTTGCATGAAAACGAGAAACAAGGAGACTCTATGATATACATAACATTTTAATTAAAATAATAATAATGAATATTGGTAGGTCTTTTCTGCGCAAACATGTAATGCGTGGTGAATCTATCACCACGAATTATATTAGTTGGAACTTAGTGTACCAGGCTTGACTTGAACCAGCGATCAGTCTCTAACGAAGCGAGTGCTCTACCAACTGAACTACCGAAATCTTGACAACTCTTATTATTTCTCAAGTCTGATCACGTTTATCTTGGAAACAAAATAAAGTTAAATATTATTAATGACTATACCATTTCTTATTCTATTGAGACGTTACACAAAATGGACATTGATGGACACTATCACTAATACTAAACTATATTCCAATAAAAGCTAAAAAAATAATTTATTAAAAAATAATTAATAATAATACGTTATTAGAACCAAAATAGTTGCAATTCAACACTTCTGTGATATATACAGTCTATCACTCACTACGTAAGTAATATAAGTAAGACCCAAAGTAGAACTTTTTAACCTATAAAAGCGACCATTCGTAGACAATACTCATACACTATAATATTGGTTCCACCGAGTCTTTTATGGATACGACAGTATAGCAGTAATGCTCTCTTTCTTCTATACTATGTTGTGGGATCTGTTAGTGGGATAACATCTTCATCAGCGTTGGGCGGGGGGAAGGGTGCGTCCTCTTCATAAATCATAACCAGCTTGCTGTGTTCCCTTTTCCGTCTTGGGTTCTGAAAATAAGAACAATGCATTTTCAATACCTGTTCCTTATAATCTATGCTAATAATTATAAATAGGAAATATTTGTTTGTTCGTTTACATTGAATAGGCTTCGATACTATATGACTAACATTTTTTTCACCTAAGAAAAGCTACATCACATGCGGGAAGTCGCGAGAAGAAACATGTAGATTTTTGATGATATTTAAACTTTTCGGATTTGTAGATTCCGTACTGCACTGTTAAGCAACTTTGGCAAGACCGCTCATTGGATGGATGACAAAAAATTATTAGAGCTCGAGCTTCTTCGTACTTCTAAAGGGACGTTTGCAAATACGCATTGGCGTACGGTTGGATTATGGCCCGTTTTAACTCCATGGATAAAAATAAATTAGTGCCCTTCAGTGGCCAGGCAGGTAAATTAGTAATTTATATTATCAATTAAGCAATAGTAACATTTATTGACGGTTAAAATTAAAGAAATAATAAAGCTTCCAGCTTATAATTTTTCAACTCTACCTGCGCTGAAATTTGAGTCTCTTCTCCGGAACTGCTAGAGCTCGTTACAGCTTCCTCGAGAGTGAGTCGTGCCGCTACGCCCTCTAATTGTAGATCCAAATACAACTGACCCAGTTGCTCATTAACTAAAGATGGCTGCATCAATCAACATTTTATAAGTAACATTAATAATTATATTTGATAAATTTTACATTCACAATGTTATAATGGAATTTATCGCATATTTAAATAATGGTTCAAGAAGTCACCAATTAGTATTTACACTCGTAGGCATCGATATTCAAATGGTAGTTATGACTTGAATATAGGTAATAACTTAAACCATTTTAACAGAAAGACGAGACTAGAGTATATAATAGGTTAAAAAAAAAAAAATTAAATCTCCCGCGAAAACGCTTTTTTGCTTTTTTACCATGGCGTCGCTATGACGTCAAAGCACGCTGAAACGAATATCGTTATGTTTATGCATAAGGTTGAATTCTCTAAGTTCTGAATGAGCAAGAGCGTGACGTCACGCGCTGATTGCGGTCACGTGACAACGAACATTAAATTTGTTTATTTATAATCATTTTAAGCAGTATTATAAATATAATAAACATAAAAGTATTATTGTCAGTAATAGTGTATCAAACAGACCCAGAAAAAAAAAAGCTATGTATTTATTTTCGTTTATTGTCTACACCTCTCAAAAGTAAAAACTCTCAATAGTATTCTAACTTTCGTCATTTCTTAATTCGTTCAAATTCTTGTTTATTGATTTAAAATATTTGCTTAAGTTATTACCTCTACTCCTCCATAGATTCGAGTGTTAATGATTTAGATAACGTGAGTTTATCATATCACTAAAGAAAACATATAAAGCAATTAGTTATAAATATATATTCCCTACCTGAGCCAACTCGCTTATTTTTTGTTTGTCACTCTGCAACACTTCGTCCATCGACTTAGTCATAATCTGATATTTGTAAATAAGTTCAGACGTAACGCACACCTGAAAAGCATTAAACGATATTTAGAGTAACAATCAAATTACTCATAAATATAACCTAAATAAAGCGATATAATCAACGAAATTTCAATAGTATTAGGGTTATTTCTAGCACTTATACGAATTTTAATCGGTCCATTGTATATCCAAAAAGTTTGCTGTTATATTTTAACCAATGCCAAAAGGTATTCTACTCTGTTTGAAATAATACTTATAATTGTTTATTTTAATTTAAAAAATCCGTAAAACAAATATTTCAGAAAAATTAACACGTGCAACAGAATGAAATCAAAATTTATACTATTTTATATAAAGCATTCCGTCATATTCATGACATAATTGCGATTTGTACACAAAACCGATGCATAGAGTAAAAGATTAAAAGATGTCAATAAAACATGAACAATTCCATGTAACGATCGGTTAAGAACAGCACCATCTAAAAATTTGATTTTTAATAATAGGCATATATTTATGTTAGTCATAAATCGCATACTCTATGCATCGGTTTTGTGTACAAATTTTTAGATGGTGCTGTTCTAACAGTGGTCTCTACAGTGACGTCACACAATGGCAGGTCGTGTCCCAAGTCACGTGACATACGGACAAAAAATTACGACTTTAATTTTAAGATAAGAGACACTACACTATTCTGAACAGAAGCGCAGCCGCTTCTAAGAAACTTTAAGTGATTCATTCACTGAATAAAAAAACCGGCTAAGTGTGAGCCAGACTCGCTCTGGTATGGTTCTGTTCCGAGAACGAGCAAAAATTCATATTTGTTGTATGAGAGCCACCTTAAATATTTATATTATTCTGCTTTTCAGTATACATCATCTGTATAAATCTCGTGTCTAACTATCACGGTTCATGATATACAGCCTGGTGACAGACAGACAAACAGATAGCGAAGTACGGAACCCACTCTTAGGGTTCCGTAGCATGCTGGTCGTTTTGTATAAAAACCACTTTAACCGACAAAGTTCACAGAAGGAAAGATACTGTTAGCGTATGCACATAAATTATTTCGTGCTTGAGGAGCTCGATGGCGCAGTTGTTAGTGCGCTCGGTCTGCGATACGCTTGTTAAGCACCTTTCGGCATTCCAAATCGATCACAGGATGGGTGACCAACTAAAGAACCACTGAGTGAAATTAAATCTTGTAACAAAACAACATCACTACCTGTTCCATCCACGCCGGTTTCAGTTTTCTCCTAGGAGGTGTTTTCTGTGGATTATTACTATCGTATACATATGTGGTAGACTCGCAGGGTGAGGTCTTTTGACATGCCGTCGTCGCCTCCGGCTAAAAAAAATGATAATGACAGCTGAAACTGGTGAATCATGATTGTGTTCAACTCGCACATGCATAGAATACTTAAAATGACAAGGTACATTTAGAACAATACTATCGATTGCGAATCGAAATATCAAATTTTACGAATTAAAATAGCGCCTGTGTATTTATCAATACAAAAATTTAATGTATTAACATATTAGGTATTACAAATTATCTATTTCATATGAATTTATGTGAATTAATGAATTATTAAGAAAATATAATTCAAATTAAATTGGAAAAGTACGTATTACTTAATACCTTAAATACAGGCAATAATAAACTGGTCTCAATTAGGACTTACTTTAGCTTTGTTATTGCACTTCTTGGGGTAACTCTCTTCGGCACTACCCGATTCAGTCTTGAAGAATGATGAATAGAGTGACGAATAACTGGACTCGCCGTCTGTCCTGTCTACCACCTCGTCTGTAGCTTTTGCATTGGCAGCACTAGATTTCGTGTTACCGCTAGGGGCTGGGACAGATACACCTTCAGTAGTCTGTAGACAATACCCGCGCCTTAGTACCTATCGGGTACTTGACATCGATACTAATATATTTTAATTTAAAACATAAATATCAGTGCATTATTATAAATGCAAATAATTATATAGATAAATATTTAATTACACTTATACAAAACTAATCCCGTATATAGGTAATATTATATTTATTCTTTTGATCTCAACAGTTTTGCGTTAACCTACAAGATATTGCTTTTTATTGGAATATCGTTCACTTAATTATACAATTAGAACAAATAACAAATGATAGAGATTTAATAAAACTTTTCCTTAATTTCATTTGACCTGGATAGTATTCACTGTATCCATAAGGATGAAATAAAGTGTGGAAATGTATAAATCTATTGAATACTATTGTAGAAGAAATTCAGAACGGAAACACTATATGTAGTGCATTTCCGAGTATTCAAAAAACCAGTAATTAAAAAAAAAAACTCATCTTTGTTCCGTCCATTGAGCGCAACATAATAGCTTCATTTTTAATGATGCTCACATAATGTTTTATTTTTCTATCAATGAAATCGAGTATTATACATTTAGTATGATATATTCAGTATTTTACATGATATTATTAATTAATTATTTACTAGCTGCACAAGTTTATGACAACTTGTTCGTTGCATATTATTACTAAAAACATTACCATGGAAAGCGGTGGGGCAAGGTGGGGCGCTAATATATGAAGTAACAAGTCTAATTCAAATTTTAGGTTATTTAAGGGTTTATATTAAAAAAAAGTTACATTATAACGTTTTGGATTGTAAGATCACAAACACACTACTCGCTAGATAACTAAAGATCCTATTGCAGATGGGAGACCTCTTAGATTATAGCTCCACTGAATGATACAACTGCAATAAGAATTTCACTTATCTATTTGCAAGTGAGAGTATGATTAAAGAATCCCATAGAGTAAAAAGCTGTATGTCATAGTTCAGCTTTTTTACTTTTTATATAAGTTCGTTATAAGGCGTCCTGTTTTTATTTATTAAATAAATTATCAGATCAGCTTTATTTCATATTAATATTGTACATTTTCATCCAATGTATGGAAAATTTGAGGTCAAAAAACCGAGAAAAGCTTGAATTGAATTTACAAGAATTGATAAATACACAAATGATACTCTATTTCAGAGGGTAAATATTCGATTAGAAAAATTACTCGAGACTATTTTTTCAAAAATTTTGGAAAGGAAAGAAAGAAGAACTCTACGGAAGTTGGATAACATTCGCATCTACATAGTATATATCACATAGTTGACATATAATTTAAAACGATCGGTATAAGAAATCAGTATAAGGATATCTGTTCTTAAGAACCATGTCATCGATTTTAGTAACAAGAAAAACCACAGTTCTCAGTTCAAGAATCGAGTAAGGACGTTTTGAAAAATAAAACTTTCATTATTTCTACTAAGATATCGATTGTTGGTCTCGGTAAATGTTACTTTGAAACATGATTTCTAAAATGAATCAAGCAAAGACAATTTTAGAAACCCAAACGAGTTAAATGTTGTTTTTCTACCAAATGAATGCAGTTTCTTTTGTCACCAAAATCGATGGCATGTTTCCTAAGAACAAAACTTTGCCTCACAGTTTCAGACTTTCCCATACTGTCCGTTCTAAATTAAAATAAACTAAACACCCAACAAGAAAACTGGCACCATAATAAAACTTTGAAAATTGATCTTAAATTATAAATGGGTTTAAACAAATGAAAAAGTCACCGTCGCACTGCACTTAAAACAATAGCTATAAAATATACATCATTTATCAATTAGACAGTATTAAGTAATATATCAGTTTTTATATGATTGCCTGTATGGTATTTTTCCTCAGGAGGTATATTACAAATAAAATAATAAAATATACAAGTGCAAATACAAGTTCTTGCCGAATTTCTAATGCACATTTAGTAATTCGGTGGGACGGGTTAGGTTCCTTCAACCTTTTGATTGATAAAAATAAGGACAGCAATGGCTTGCACATTACGAGCCTAACTCAAATTCAAGAAAAGAGCAAATTTTTATATAATTTAAGGGGAGCAACTCTACAATTTCAAATATAAAAGTGCATATAAGTATATGCCATTTTTTAATGAATCCATAGACTATGAGTGTATCATAAATATTTTGAAACTTCCACCGCGTTGGGCTGAATTTCCATTATGATGTTTTGTGTGCAGTTTTAGGTTGATAGAAAAAAGGTTTCTTGTTCCAATTCAATATGCACGTTCTCTGCGTCGAGATTTGTGCGGTATCTGCAAAGGACGACACTGCGATAATTCCAAAATAATAATAGTGATCGTCAACCTTATGCGCCTTACTATTCAAGATATAAGGAAGTTACAGCTGTAAAGAAGTAAAGCTGTCACAGTGCGTCTTTGTCAGATGATCAGTGATCACAATATCTAATCTCATATTTAAAAAAACAGTAACTTTAACATACTTCGAATATAATTACTTATATTATTTATTTAAGTTAGAATTCAAGCACACAAAAGTAATAACTTAAATGAACTTTCAAGATTTATGGACCGCTTTTTGGGGTAAATTAGAAAATAATAGTCACTAACTATCCAGTGTGACATATCAAACGAAAGCTCTCGCCGAGAGACTAAATTTCTTTTATTATACTAGAAATAATTATGAAGTCGAAAGACAAAATAAACGCCTCCCTCCTTGTTCCAAAAACTACAGTCAAATCGTTTGAATAACAATCAGCAGCTAGGTAGTTTTTACTTACCCTTACATTAATTTATTTACCTGGTCTGGTTACAGGAAACATTTTATAAACAGTTTATAAATTTCTAAATGTAATATTTGTACGGAACAGTCGGTGCGCGAATCCAAATGACAAATGGTGGATTTCTTTTACTGTACACTTTATACCACACCTTCTAAAAACCCAAGTAGAGATAAATACAGTCTACCACGACATTTAAGCCATAGCCAACTGGTTATTAAACATAGCTTTTTAAATACATGGTAAAGATTTGATAAATTCAAGGATTACAAAAGGTTAGTTGCATTTGTTTCTTTCTATGCTCGTTTCTTTAGCTGCGACATATATAGGATGTATCAATAATATTACAATAAAAAAGGGTAGATAGATTGTCAGTACTAATACGTTATAAATTGTCCTCGGCATACACAGTAGCACATGACACGATACACTTTAATTATTCATAGACTATTATTGACCATGTCACAGATCAGGCGTCTAATTATTTAATGCATTTTTAATGCCTACGTTTACCGAAACGAGTTAAAGATGATGAAATCTAAAAACTACTCTATTATTTTTCCTTGTTGTTAGCGTGTATATTATTTGCAAATGTAGGTATAAATAATGAAGCTTTTCAAGCGATAAAATAAACCTTACACTGATATATAATAACATAAGGGCTTCGATCGAAATCGGAATCGGTTTTCTTTTTTTAGCTTCGAAGTTAGATTTCGACGCTCCGAATTCGAACTCCACAGTTTCAGTTTCCTTTAGATTTTCATATAAATGTAAGGTTGTATGTAGGCAGTAAAGTCAAATTGTCCGTTCTGTTATTTACATAGTCTTTGATAGATCTCTTTCACAATTTGAGACCGGAATATTTACTATTTATTTTTATGGCACATATATTTTATAAATGTATAGGTATTTACGAATGAAATGTGACCCCTCGATCTTTAGACGATTTACTTACGCGGTTTCTACAGTTTTTAAATGATTATGGTACATAAACGCACACAATCAACGCACGTTCACTAGACTACACTCAGGAATGCTAAATGGCACAGTTTTAAGGTGAGACTTTTTGAATGCAAGTAACCTATCATCACTTTTTTATTGTAATATCATGGGGGTATACGATAGAAATTAATATCTTACTTGTTGTTTGGGAGTTGTCTTGGTTCCCAATGTTCCCGGCTGTGGATTATTTATATGGCTGTAAATAGGGGTGGTTTGTTGCATACTCTGTGACATCATTGGCTGTTGCACTGGGTATGATATTTGGGGCCCAAGGGCAGAATAAATTATAGGAGCTCCATAAACTGCTTGTCCATACATCAAACATTGCACTGGAATAGGGAATATGCATATTAAAAAAAAAAAACAATATACGCTGCCAAGTTCACGTAAACTACTTTTACAAGAATAAATAATTGTGACGTAAAAATACAGTTCATATAGATCAACTATAAGAACATAAGGTTTCTCCAATGGATCTCACAATATTTAAAAATAAATAAATATATATGTATTTGTAATAATCAAACATGGAAACTCCGGCGCTCTTAAGCTAGCCGAACCCTATATGTTACATAAAGGCTAAATCAAAGTGATAGTAGTTATTTTTGACCTCTGACTAATTAATTTTTGTCTATTTTAGGAATGACTAATTTACAGTCAAACAGACATCGTCAAAACTTAATTTCCTGATAACTAGATAGAGCCTTTTTTTATTGTTTTATCTATTACCAAAATTCAAAATTGTCATATTTTTATTATTGTTTCTTTATGTGTAAAGACCACAAACGTGACATTGGCGGAATTGTGTAAACATAAATAGGTCATGAATTAAAAAAGAAGAAGACATCGATTTTTGACTAATCAGACCTCAACTTGGTTTCAAAATGTATTAGTTCACTAAATAAAACATAATAAAAGATCATTTTGTTGATTTTAATGTTTATCGTTTAATATTATAAAACTTCTGTTTATTCCTAATATGAAACGAACATTTAGGTATCTTTTCTAAACCCTACGTTAAGCAACGCGATGTATGTATACCTAAATATAAAATAATAATTTATGCGAACATCGCATAAGTTATGCTAATATGTTAAACCCGTTTAAAAATATAACAAGTCGAGTATGCATTGACGTTTGACTAAGACTGCCTTGATAGGCATGGTTTGGAAGACATTATTTTACTTACAATGTTTAATGAAAGAGTTAGGGATTTCTAGATTCGACGAAACAAACATATTTTAGTAAATTGACCAAAATTCGAGTTTAAATCCATACCTGGTATTCCGGGTATAGCCACCATTGGTTGAGGAATAGCGGGATCGATTATGGGGATCTGTTGCGGTATACCAACACCTAATAAGAACGTATTGGTACTGCTAACTTGATTCTTGTACCAGTTCGATGCAGCTGAAGCAAAAAAAAATCAAACTCTTTGTAATCTTGTCGCATAGACAACGCCTAGCGCTAAGAGCTAGTACACGTTGAGCGTTCATTTTTGCGTTAGACGTCAACACGGCGTAGTGTTAGTGGGGCGAGATCCTTTAGGTTAAATTCGGATATAAATGTGGAAGCAATTACTTGTGCGCAGCTCCTCTATCTTCGCTACAAAATACGATAGAGTCAAACAGACTATTGACTCTAAGGCATAAATTGATGCAATTTTTATTAAATTTTATCTAGAATTATAAAAAAATCTTAGACGAATGGTGAATTAATATTTATCATTTTTTGAAATCTCATTTCTGTAATCAGGATACTGCATATCCCAAACAGTTGGTGACTTTCGAATTTCACCTATAAATAAAACTACTCCAGGGCGCAATAAATTTTCAATAAAATGATTCATCCTAAACCTAATTCATCTTGTGCGTTTTTTTTAAGATTATTCAATAGTTTTTTTACTTCATAATTTATTTATTGAACAGTTAGGCAGTTATTTGGGAGTTCGCACAAGCGTTCTAATCTTAAAGTCGCAACGAACGTTTGGCTACAATAAGCAACAAGCGCTTGGCAAACTGCGAGCAAAGATTAAAAAAATTGAGCAATATTTTAACAAACTAAACTTCTTAAAAGTACTTTTGAATCAGCCAACATATTATTAATGTATTAAATTAACATACCGTAATAGTGATAAATGTTACGTTCTTATTATTATTATATTTGATAAATTATAAAAAACAAGTAACAAGTGCTTGAAAAATTCGTCACTCCTGTTAGGTCCTTAGTAGTTTAGTGGTTAGAGCAGTCGCCCGGATTACAAAAGGTCATGGGTTCAAAGTGGATTTTTAAGCATTTTTCAATAAGAATGTAACGTTCAATAAAAAAATTGTTAAATTTCTATGCAACAATATTTACGGCAAGGCTTTGTATATACTAAGCATTGTTTTATAATATCTGTGCTTTCACTATTAACAGGAGACTACCAGACTTACCCATTGATGTTGTTACGGTGGCTGAAACTTGCGCTTCGGCGGTGTTAGTGGTAATCGTTGGTCGCCGATGAGGTTGCCTCGAGGTAGGGCAATGGTGTTTATGTGCCACATTGTCCACCTCCATAAGCTTTGAAGTCCTCTTCACGCCATGCAACTGTGGTGTTGTACTCTATAAATAAATATAAACACCCATCTTGATATCTATCTGTTTCTTCATTGCTGACACTCAAAGCAATGCAATTGCGATACATATACCTACCCATTTAAAATATTTACACTAAATTCTTATGTAAAATATAAAAGTATAGTAATGGATAAACGGGCTACATATAGTTACTTCACAAATGAGAATAACGGCCATATGAATGATAATAAATTTACATCAACTCGTAAAATTTCAGTGGTCGTGATCAGAAAACTACTAGCAATTTTCACCCTAAAATTCTAGCTTTCTTCTCTAAAAGTTTAATTCTACAAACCCATGTTAACTGCCCATCGTCCCCATTTGATTTCACCTATAAGGAAGGCCTGTGCCCCAGCTGTGAGCAACAATAGGAAGCGCGAAGACGGCAAACCACTAGAGCTAAAACTTTACCTTATTATATCTATTACCCATTACCTTATTCTTAGCGGGTTCCACCGCAATGGGTTGTTGAAACGTGCCGTTACACCTTGCCAAATGCTCCTTTTTCTTCTGTCGGTTGTCGGTAATGATTTTCTCTCTCTCTCCCTTGCTGCTCCTTGTCTCACGGTGTACTCTCAGCAATTCCTTCTCCATATCGGCATTGTGTCTGTAGGCAAGAGAATGCCTATGATCTAATGTTATATTTCCACACTAATTAAAGGTCATATTAAAGGCACAGTTACACGGCTTTGCTCCAACCCAGCGACTAGACAATTAAATCACAGGTCAAAAGATATATTTCATATAGACGGAGAGTTCGTGACAAAAATGTGCAAGAGGCATATGTGCCAGCGCCTGACCTCCGTAATGGGTATTGAGTACTTCAACATTCTGAAATATCAAACTTTGGTGAGCTCTTTCACATTTTAGTCACTTAAATGCCTAATTTACATTTTTTTCTGTAACTAAGGTCTTTAGTTACCAAACAGTGATAAAAAGATCTATAATAGTAACCATTTTCATCAACAGTGATTTAATTCTATAATATTAATTTATGTTATGTTTTAGAACAAATCCAGAGATTACGCTTTTAATCAATGGTTCATCAAGAACAGAAAAAGAATATGAATAATAAATATAGATTTTTTCTAAATATTGTACTCACTTATTAAGGAGCATCTCAGTGAGTCTGGTTTGTTGGTGGTCGCTAAGACTGGCTGAACTAATGTCTCCCACTACGGGAACACTCTCACAGGAACTGGTCAAGTCACCCAACTCTCCAAAGTTCTGAGTTAGAGGCGATAAGCAGTTCCTAAAAGAGTACAAAACTACAATAACAGGTCGACCGGTTTATCTCTCATACAGATATATTTTTTCAAAAGTTCTAAACTGTCACATTTTAAGCAACAATCTATGTCTAATTTCAGCAACTTTTCTAAGTGACATAAGGAACTTGATATAAAAGCCGCCCATTAAAAACAAATATCTACCAGCCTTTTGTTACACAATGGAATTCCCAGATGACACTACCTCTACATTCGATAGTTTGCAATTATTTAATATATTTACTTTAAAAAAAAATAATATTGAAATATTTTCGCCAAATAAATTAACTGCCACATCAAGAAGGTTCACATTCAAAATGAGCAGTAATGATAGTAATAATAACTTTTTATTGTCATATGCAACAAGGCAATGTAAGCTATCTGACCTCTGTGCTAGGTATAACCTGATTGACAATGACTAACCGTAACCGCTTCAGTTACTCGTTTGTGCGCAAGTAATGTAACATCAGCTCCTTAATTTCTTCTTCGATAAGCCGATGCTTTCTGCAGGAAAATTAACATGAGCTCTTGCGCCATGCAATTTCAATGCTCAAAGCGAGACAGTGCTGTCTTCACTAGCAACAGCGTGAGAGTGCCGTTGGGAATCCGTACCATTAAAACACTTACCGCAGGACGCTAGCATGAATTCTTGACATTCTTAAAGATTCTTCAGAATATAAAGACTCATTTTCTTAAGATACCAGAAAATTACAAGAAGGAATGGAATGTATAAAAGCACCGATAGTAGTTGGCTTCTGCACACCCTTCGCCACTGCAGCCTTTAAATCGCGTTTAAGAGCTCACGCTAAGATCCTAGCTCAGTGAGAGTTGTCGCCCATGTCATGAAATACCCAGATTTAGATCTTGACTATGGCAGTAAACGTTTTCAGTGCTTTAAATATACATTTACATATATATCATTCATATTATGTATGGGTAATAAAAATATTAACACCAAAATAAAACTAAATGCAAACCAAAAATTAATAAACATAATACACGATGCGATCATATACGACCTATTGATTTGGTATTTATATTATAGATATATTAGAGATTAGTATGGTATTCTTGTTGATACAGCCCTTTCAATGTGTTACATAGAATATTAGACGCGTGTGTCAACGACAGGTGGGCTTAATAAATCGTTCCCTTCATTAAAAAAAAAAGTTAGTCTGACAGGAATTGTCGAAATTGAAATTGCTCGTCACTGTGCCGGATGACAGCCGGTCTTTTCGAGATTAGCGGTGTTCGAGATAGCTGACTTCGGCGTTGGTGTTGTCACGACGTCGAACGCGTGAGCGGCGCGCCAATATTACGACGGCCCTTGACCTATCTTCTCTCCGGAGTTGACATCGCTGATTAGCGATCGCTTGGCAGCGTTTTCCTCCAAAAGGTACGATTTTGTTATAAACCGATAGACAAGCAACTTTTGCCGCCGAAGCGAAAAGAGAGTAGGTTGTGAGTAGATGCTCTCATGAACTCAGATGATGTTTAGAGGCTTTAGTTTAATACTGCACCCCTGTCACTCCGCCCTCGCACAGCACTCATCATTAGGTATATGAAGGTCGTATTCTTTCCCGCTGGGCCAGCTTACACTATGGCTCCAGCGCCAAGATTATACCAACTCATTTACACATGGATTCCAGGAGGTTTTTGGTTCCGACGTTACTGTACAAGAAGTTCCTGGTACCAGTTGGTGGTACAACTTCCTTATTTTCCTCGTTTCTGGTCCCATTTCTACAAGCAGAGACCAATCAAAGTAGGGCTGAACCTTCGCCCTCACCCTCTAATAAGATGCAGTCTTTCCATATTATTTAGTTACGATTGGAAGGAAGTCGTACTTGCCAGCAGTAGAATGACCTTGTTGCAGGATTGCCACAGCGGCCCTTTGTCTCCCCACTTTGGTATCTTCAAAACGTACAAACGTTTATCACTCCGGTACTTCTGGCCAGGAATGTATCGGGATGTGGTAGACTTAGTAGGTAAGTCTGAGATTTGTAAAGCGTACAAGTGCTCGCAAGAGGTAACCCCCGGTTTTATGGGTGACCCAAAAGTTTGTACACGCCCATTTCAAACCCTGAACGTCGATTTAGTGGGTCCGTTTCCTCGGTCTCGATCTGGTTTCACTTACCTGTTGGTGGTGTTATGCTGTTTCAGTAAATATTGTCTCCTCTTTCCGCTGCGAAGAGCCATCGGCAAAGTTATAGCACGTCATTTAGAAAATGATGTAATGTTAGTGCAAGGTGTACCGCGTACGGTGATATTGGACAATGGAACCCAATTCACCGGTGGTGAGCTTAATGCCCTGTTTGACAAATACAATTTTCCTCAAATCCATTTTACACCCAAATATTGTCCACAGGTCAACTCTGTAGAACGTTATAATCGTACTATTGGTACAGCAATATCCATCTTAGTTAAAAATGACCACCGTTCTTGGGACGAACAAGTACCCAAGATCCGATGTGCCATGAATACTTCTGTTAATGAAGTTACGCGGTACACCCCTTATTTCTTGTTGCACGGCTGTGAATCCGTACTATGTGGTTCGCTCTATGGACAGGGTTCGACCTCTTCGCTCTCACTTCAATGTTCCTTTCGTGATGAATACGCGCGTGGTTTGGGAAAATTAGCGAGTACTTTTGGTCACGTTCGTGATGCCATTCTGAAGGCGCATTCTCGTAGCAAAATATACTATAATCGATCGCGCCGTCTTGCGAAGGTTCAAGTGGGCGATATCGTATGGAAGCGAACTTTTCCTTTAAGTAGCGCATCTAACTTTTTCATGGCTAAACTCGCGCCCAAATTTAATAAATGTAGGGTGATCCACAAACTCAGTCCTGTTGTATACGAGTTAGAAGAAGCCAATAACGGTAAACCGTTGGGCCGTTGGCATGTTAGCAAACTAAAAGTTTCATAATATTTTTTATTTTATTCTATGTCCGCCTTGCGGTATTTTTATTCCCTCTACCTGAATATTTTCTCCGACTTATGCGCTGGGGGACCAGCTCGAATTTTGCTCTTTAAGCGCAAAATTCTGGTGGGCAGGGAGGTATTGTTACATAGAATATTTGACACATGTGTGTCAACGACAGGTGAGCTTAATAAATCGTTCCCTTCATTTAAAAAAATGTTAGTCTAACAGGAATTGTCGAAATTGAAATTGCTCGTCACTGTGCCGGATGACAGCCGGTCTTTTCGAGATTGGCGGTGTTCGAGAGAGCTGACTTCGGCGTTGGTGTTGTCGCGACGTCGAACGCGTGGGCGGCCATTTTTACGACGGCCCTTGACCTATCTTCTCTCCGGAGTTGACATCGCTGATAAGCGATCGCGTGGCAGCGTTTTCCTCCAAAAGGTACGATTTTGTTATAAACTGATAGACAAGCAACTTTTGCCGCCGAAGCGAAAAGAGGGTAGGTTGTGAGTAGATGCTCTCATGAACTCAGATGATGTTTAGAGGCTTTAGTTTAATACTGCACCCCTGTTACTCTGCCCTCGCACGGCACTCATCATTAGGTATATGAAGGTTGTATTCTTTCCCGCTAGGCCAGCTTACACTATGGCTCCAGCGCCAAGATTATATCAACTCAATTACACATTGATTTCAGGAGGTTTTTGGTTCCAGCGTTACTATACAAGAAATTCCTGGTACCAGTTGGTGGTACCACTTCCTTATTTTCCTCGCTTATGGTCCCGTTTCTACAAGCATAGACCTATCAAAGTAGGGTGAACCTTCGCCCTCACACTCTAATAAGGTACAGTCTTTCCATATTATTTATCCGTGTCCGTTGGGATTCGACCAGCGGTGGTGCTCAACAATTTTCTATTGTTCAATAATTAACCATTAATAAAGTTACAAATCCAAAACCTCATTAGCTCGAGTCACTCACCCCTGAATTGTCTGGATTAGTCGGCACATCTCCTATTACTGGTAAATACATAATAGTATTTCTATGAAAATAAATTGTGCAAGATAATTCTGGTTATTTATTTATTATACCCTTGTATTAACAAAAAAATTTTAACAAATGATAATCTGTTTTCGGAACCTAAAGATCATTCTTTTGTTTCTTTATCCTATCAGATGCTATGAGATTCCGTACATGGATGGCGACGATGAGTTACATGTTTCATGTGATGCACTGGTTTATACAATTTATACAGAATTAACCAAAAAATTTTCCCCAAGTTCAACTGATAATTTATTTGTACGTAACAGACTCGATTCAAAACAACAATTCATAACTATATCGAACGCATACTATACAGGCAAATGTTGATCTAGAGGTCAACCGCCTTAGCAAAAAATTTAAATACGAACTCATTTAAAGATATTAGTATCAAGTCAAAGCCAAACCGACAACTGTGAAAGATTTAATGATTTATTAATGAATATTCTTGAAAAAAAAAATGATTATTTATTATTAACTGTTATTTATTTATAATATTTATTATTAATTTATTTATAATTAATCACAATTTATACTCAGTTTGATAAATTTAAAATATGACAAAGAAAGGTGTTTTTGAAGTAAGTCGTTTTGGTTTACATTAGATTAATACATCACTTCTAAACATGTCATTATAATAAAATAAAATATTCATTGAAGCAAATAATAAAAGTTTTTGTTATTGCTTTGGCTATGTCAATTTTAGTTTAGTTATGGTCTCAAGTAAGGAAATTGAACCCCTTTAAAGAAAGCCTACTTCATTAAAAAAAGATAGATATATACAATACCGGCACCGACAGACATAAACGATAGCATTGCTTACGGTAGTGAGGAGCGGTGAAGCAGAATTTTAAACGTGAGGGCGTTTGTGCACGACACTGAATTTTCAGGTCCGGCAATCCGATATTTTCCAGTCCGGAGTGACATGAAAAACCCAGATGAGAAGCTTGTGCAGTTGTCCGTTTTTTACGTGATCGGAGCGGCGCAGTTTAGGGCAGCTCTCTTTGAAGCTACACCCCTCACTTACGCTAGGT